CATAATGGTTTTTCCCACAGTGCTCACACTGTTTCACTTGACCCGGAGTAGATCTCCCAGCACCGGATTCCACTGACTGCGTCTGTCTAGGTCTTGCCTGACTTGCTCCCCTAGCAGACGATGCAACTGATTCTGATCTAGTTTGTGATCGAAATCCTGAGTCTCTTCCCCTTTTGTTGGTGCTGAACCAGATAAGTAGTCCTCTTTGATGTCTGAACTCTTGAGTCCCCAAATCTTTCATTCTGAGCCCTTTCAAGAGCTTTTGCACGATTGACCACCTCCTGGAACGAGGACAAGTTTAATACTATCAACATTTCTTTAAGTCTAGGGCGCAAGCCCTCCACGAACCACTCGCAAGCATCTTTTCAGTAGGCACAAGCTCAGCTGCAAACCTGCTCAGCTTTAAACTCATTCGTACTCATACACAGAGCGGCTCATCTGCTTCAAATTCATAAATTCCTGCTTCATTTGGCGGATAAACTGATCTCCAATATACTTGTTTTTAAATTCTTCTAAAAAACAAAGACCAAGTCAACTGGTCGGTTGACATTCTCATGTGACGTTCGTCCACCATATCCTCGCCTGACCCCTCAATAAAGACACAGCTCCATCTAATTTCTCCACTTCGGAACAGTGGAGACCATCTAACATGATTTTCAAATCATTCAACCAAAGATCCGCTGACACTGGACCTTCCTCAGCTTCTCCCTTAAATTCGGGAGCTCCTAAACTTCTCAACTCTTTTGCTACATTAATTCTTGGAGTTAGTGGAGCAGGAGGTTGAAGACGCGTCAGAATAGCGTCTAACGTTCTGAAGAACGTATCTTGATCTTGCACAGGCACTCCTTGAGATGCCTGTTCTTCACCTTGCCTGGCCAGGGCAGGTGAATTACTGCTTTCAGCATGCTATCTTCTCCCGCTTCACTTCGGGAGCTATTATGTCCGGACATCTAATAAGAATAACACATTGTTCTATTAGCAAAACAGCATACTCATACTATACAGATCAGAAGTTCTCGCTATTTGTTGGCATGTATTCCATTTAAAGACTCTATAGACTCTGGTTTATGCTAGAATCGGCTAAACCATAGCTCTGATACCATTAAATGTACCCCCAACCCATACCCGACCCGGATATGAGTCAGAGATACTACATTGACTTAAAACACAACTCTTAATAAATAAGTAAATATTTGATCTTATATTAAGAAAATACAATAATATACATACTGTAATATAAGTTTACCAAATATTCAGAGCATACACAACTTAACCCTTTAATTACATGCCAATGCTATTTACATAACAAAATGACCTACTGATTAAGTTGCTTCTGATCGGTGGTTGCAGGAGTAATGCTGTCAAGCTGCTTCACCTGTCTCGACTAATTCCTCGGATCCTACGTGAAACATCACACGCTAAGTCATCGACTTAGTGAGGCAATAATAATAACAAGGCAATGTAATGTAATTAAAATGTCAGGATCATATGAGATGAGATGCAAACATGTACTTAAATCAATGTAGTATACATCATCAATCCCCATACCTGTAAGCGTAGACTGAACATTTGAATCTGTATTAATAAGTTTATTGGCCCATGATAGCATATTGAGAACCTAAGGTATTGAGTAATGTGAGGTTGTGCACTATGCTGTCACACAGCTCGTATAAAATGCACCGAAGTGCCCCGTAGAATTGCACCGAAGTGCCCGTAGAATTGCACCGTAGTGCCATATAATGATGTCCCTAAGGACCACATAGAATTCCTTAAGAATCATATACATATACTATGGATCAAGTGTCTTTCAAGACTTCACACAGGTTCCAAAGAATATACATATGTCCTAAAGAACCGAGTATCCCCTCTACCCTTGGCATGCCAAACTATACCTATAGTTCTCATCTACATAACATGGGCTTTTTAATGATGTCCCTAAGGACCACATAGAATTCCTTAAGAATCATATACTATACTATGGATCAAGTATGTGTCTTTCAAGACTTCACACAGGTTCCAAAGAATAACATATGTCCTAAAGAACCGAGTATACCCTCTACCCTTGGCATGCCAACTATACCTATAGTTCTCATCTACATAACATGGGCTTTTACATTTCACGTAGTCTATATCGCGTAGACATGTAAATTCTTACCTTTTCACATAGCTCATAACTTTTCCCCACATAGTCATGTCATATAATGCATTTTATATGAATTCATCATGTCTCATAATACCGACTATGCTCATGTACCAAGATATAAGATCTAGACTTATCACAAGTCTAGAATGGAGTATATTTCTTAATCATGCTATGCATATGCACTCACCTATACTTCTTTGCCTTTTCCTCGATCGATCCTACTGGTAGATTGTTCCCGAACTCGTGTAGGCTCGGTATCTACATAAACATAATTTTCAAGATGATCATCAGATGTCTATGTCTTGAAATTAATCTTTAATATCTTACCAATCTAAGGAATTAATAGCTTAATCTTTCTTTCTTTACTTTCTTTTTTTTTCTCATGGGGGAATCGGTTCCCCCCCTGGGGGTATCGATTCCCCACTAGCATTCTGGAATTCATATTCGTTGAGGGGTATCGGTTCCCCCCTGGGGGTATCGATTCCCTCTAGTATACTGGAAATTCATATTCGTTGCTCAAACATACATATTTCACTCTCTTTACTACTCTTAGCTTTCATACACTTACTTAACTAATTATTATCCATTAAATACCTCTAAAACTTAGAAATCTAATTCTCCATGTAGAATTTAAGAATCCAACCAAATTCCAATATGTTCTAATTTGAATTCTAACACCTCATACTTCTTAGTTAGCTTCTTGACAAGTCAAAAATCTTATTCAAACTTCAAAAACTCATTCCTATCAAAATTTCATCTAAAAATTCATTTTCCAAATCTATCTCTAAAACACTTATCTTGTTGTTTTAATGTCATATAAGCTTTCCTTTACCTTATATAACATCCAAACTTTCATTTCCAATCTTAAAAATCAAAGAAACTACCAAGGTTCAGATTCTTACCTTTACTTGCAAGCTCCACGTTGAGAGAAGGAAGAGAAGAAAATAAGGAAGAAGGAAGAAGAAATGGGAGGGTTCTGGAACCTAATGTCACACGTGGGTTCTCATATAACCCCATAACATTTTATTTTAATTAAAAATTCCTTACAAATGACCATTTGGTCCTTACCTCCATCTCATATTTACTAACCATACTTTTTAAACTATATAATTATTCTACTTTAATCACCAAATGTTGAAACTTTGCAAATTAATCACTCACCCGACATGGAGGATGTTACAGTGAATCAGCCTGTCTACTTTACAACTCGAATCTATGAAGCTGATTACTTAGCTTAAATGTTGATGACAATCACAACGAATGCATCAAAGTACTTTGCCTGTCAATAATCAGAAAATGGTCTTACTTATGAAGACAGCTCAATTAATCAAGTTCAGCTGCCCTAAAATTGAAGGGACAAAACAGAATACAAATTTGCTCTCTAGCTAACAAACAAATGGACCCCGATTGCATGTAGGAATGGCAACGGGCGGGTTTGGGGCAGGTTTCGCTCGCCCCGTCCCCGAACCCGAAATGAATCCCCATCCCCGACCCCGACCCGATCCCCATCAGGTTTTTTATCGGGGCGTCCCGTCGGGGATTTTTTTTGCCCCGTCCCCGAACCCGAAAATATTATATATATAATTAATATAAAAAATATAAAATATTATATATATAATTAATATAAAATATATAAAATATTATATATATATAATCGGGTCGGGGTGGGGATACCTTGCCCCGTCCCCGAACCCGACCCAAAAAATCCCCGATACCCGACCCGATATCATTCAAACCCAACCCGACCCGAACTTGATCGGGTTTCGGGTTTCCCCGTCGGGTTCGGGTCATTCTGCCATCCCTAATTGCATGTGGAAAGTGGACAGAGATTAAAGCAATCTCTTATCTTCCACTTTATATCCTGTCGTTAAGTCCATATTATGAGGTCAATATTGTTCTAGTTTTTCATTTTGCAGCATATTTGATCACCTAGTTGATTAACTTATCAATTCGATCCATAATTGAGTCAAAATTAGTTTAACCAAATCAAATATACATCACTTAAAATCAATTGATTTTAATATTTTAATTGCAAGTGTGTAACATCATCCAATATGCAGCACATTTTTATATAGGATCTAGGGTCTTTTAAGTGGAGGTCTTTTTTTTTCTCTTACGAATCAAATGGACGTCTCTTAACTTTTCAACGTATCTTGAAACATTTTAATCTAATGTTTGAAGCTCAAATTATATTCATTTTATATAGGTTCAATATGAAATTTTTTATTTATTACGAATTTTTAATAATTTTAATAATTGTTTATAATTAAATCTAACATACGACCCTTTTTAATAGATTTAGATAAATAAGATTAGATTTATAATCTATTTATTAGTTTGTCCTTGTTTAGATCAATTTTATTTTTAATTTTATTATTATCATGTCGATTCCTAGTCCAAGTTAAAGACTCATTTTGTGGACTAAATAAGTTGTTATCACTACAGCAAAATGAGTTTATAGTGACATTTTTAGCAACTTTTTTTGAACAAACGCCGCTATAGACTCATACTTTAGTGGTGTTTTTATACGAACGCCGCTAAAGAATCCTACTTTAGTGGCCTTTTTTTATGAACTTCGCTATAGACTCATACTTTAGTGGCGTTTTTATACTAACGCCGCTATAGGCTTGTACTTTAGTGGCGTTTTTATACAAACGTCGCTAAAGACTCGTACTAAGTTTACAATTTTTAAATGCACACCCCCTTTAAACTTTTTTCCATTTTTTCCACTTCACCTAATTTTACTTTCCCGCCTGAAGTTATTGGAAGTGGAGGTGGTGGAGGGAGAGGGAAGAGAGGAAGAGGTTTTTTTTTTGGAAGTATCAAAATCTCTCTAGAAAAATGACTATAAAAACCTATGTATCAACAGCAAACCCACTCATTGTTTTTGCGAAGGGAGAGAGACGGGCAGGAAAAGACACAGATCTTCGTGAAAACCCTTACCGGCAAGACCATCACCCTCGAGGTCGAGAGCGGCGACACCATTGACAATGTCAAAGCCAAGATCGAAGTCAAAGAAGGTTATTTTCCCTCTTTTGTTTTGTTCCATCAAAGTCTCATTTCTCTTTCCATAGGTTTATTTAAATTGATTTGATTTTCTGAACTAAACAAGGAATCCCGCCGGACCAAAAACATCTCATCTTCGCCGGAAAACAGCTCGAAGACGGACGTACCTTGGCCGACTACAACATCCAGAAAGGTTAATCTTTTGGGTTTTCTTCTTCCATTTGAGCGGCATTTTTTTGCTTCTCAGTTGATTAACATATTAAACAAATTATCAGGTCCTGATGTTTTGATTTCTAGGCAGAACAGAGTTGGAACCGGGTCAAAGGGGAAAGAGAAATTTGTAAGCATTGGGAACTGACTTTTGGAGCTTTCAGTATTCTGTGTATTTTGTCACTTAATCCTTGCACTCATAAAATAACACTCCACATAATTAGCATTGGACGTTTTCCTTTTTCTGTCTATAATCGGTACTAACTTCTTCAACAGACGATGATACTCCCAAATATTGGTCACCTTGCAAAACTGGTATGCTTTTTAACTTCATTGTAATTTATTTGGCATGGGAGTCATCTTTCTATTCAAATGTTCACCTGTTCTTTTATCTTGGTTGGGCTTTTGAGAAAAAAATTATCCACTAATGTTTACTTCCTGTATGGCCTGCTGCTAATAGAAGCTTCTCCAACATGCATTAATTTGTTTCAAGGAATCTACTTTTACTTTTCTAACGGATTTCCATTTCATTAGTTCCTATTCATGATTGTTCTCCATCTATCTGATCAATAAACTAAGCAATTTGTTGAATTTCAACGCCTTGCATAAACAATAATGTATTCGTAATTCAACTGCTATCATATAGATATTTCTTTTCCAAAGTTTTGAGTCTTTTAATAAAACTTCCTTGGTGATTTAAGTGCTCAATACCTAAAGGGAAGGAGTGGGGGTGTGTATCTCTAGGTCTTCATGTGTACTATCATTGTTTCTGTTATTTAATAAAAAAATTAAAAGGAGTGGGGGTGAGTATCTCTAGGTCTTCATGTGTACTGTCAAATCTCGAATTTTATATGGTGTTTGAAGTTGCAGTGGTTTTCCACATCCATTTTGGTGAACCAAGTAACGTATTCCTCTCCTGCTTTTTCTTGGCAATTATATACATGTTGCAGATCCTAGCCATGATTATAGGCACAGTACTGGTTCTAAAGAAATTAATATTTACAAGCTGTGCTCCACTTTATTTCTTCACTGACAGCTGCATTATTCTTGAGTATGTTTTGCTTAGTCTCATGAAAATAAGTTGCTTCTTTATTCTTTGGTTGAAGTTGATAGGAGTATGTTGGTTATCTATTAATGCTGGTGTCTTGGTATTTGGTTTTATGATGTTTTAATGTGTTCGATGTAAACAGCAAGGCCTTGATCCCATGCATCTTGCTGGCATTAGGAGGCAACCTTGTTGATGGTAAGTTAAATACCTCGGTCGCCATGTTTGAGAAGGGTTTTAATGAATCCTGGCCTACCTACCTACCATATCAAACCATGTTGCATGATTTGCAGGACCAGGGCCAGGAAGTGCAAGAATTGGTGTCCGAACACTTGTGGCTATTATAATTGGGCGCTTAATCTTGGTGCCTCCTGCGGGGCTGGCCATTGCTTTCACTTTGGCAGGATGGATAATTCTGTATCTCAAAATACTCTTCTAAAATGAGCACAAAGCAGATTGGATGGAATTGTTTGACAGGGCAAGGCACTGCTGACTTAATGTTTTGCAGTGTTTTATTTTATTTTATTCTCTCTTGATATGAATTGTCCTTGTCAGTAGCTTCTTACATGTTCATGTTAATATTCATACCATCGCATCATTTAAATGTGGATGCATGGACGGACGCGCTTGAATTTATTTTAGCTTGTTATGAAAGCTACAATATTCATATATCCTTTTTGATCACTAAACTTTGACTCTCTTGATTATATATTCATAATTGGATTTAGTTGAACTATTTTGGTTATTTTATTATATTAAGATTTGGGATTTAATCTCACATAATTAGTGTTTTTTTAGTAGTATTTCGGCCATTTTCTATGTTGGAAATGTTGTTTTTAAAATGTTCATATTTTAGTTGGCATATATTTCAAGTATTAAATAATTTCAAATTAACGTTTTCAATTCGAACGTAGGACCAAAACTATAATTTGACCTAAATTTGTCTTATATATATATGTCAGAATATTTAGTGGTGATTTTGGGACAAATTGTCATAAAAAAAAATATAAATAGCGGCGTTTGGAAAAATATCGCTAAATATCATCACCTTTAGCGGCGTTTGTAAAAAGAATGTCGCTAAAAACATAATCTTTAGCGATATTTGTGGTTCACAAACCCCGCGATGTTATTTTCAGCGGCACTTTTAACGGCATTTGTTTTTTGCCACAAAGGTTTTTAGCGGCGTTTAAAAACACCGTTATATGACTAAAAAAATTCGCTAAAATCCTATTTTGCTGTAATGTATATTCATTAGTAGTAAACATATTACAATGGAGACTTAAGAAAATCATTGTTGATGAGCCTTTTTCTTTTCATGGTTGATTGATTCATATTATTTTTTGTATAATCCATGTAATTAGGTACAATTTATCTAGGAGTGTACTAGTAGTGAGTGATTAAAGGTAGTATTGGCAAAACTATTTAATTACCGTCTTTGTTAATCATAAGTAAATTAAAAATTTATTGTTACATCTAGCTCTTGAAGGCTATGACTATTTATAAAGTAGAAGTATGACAACCTTACAACCTAACACAATTCAATCCACAAACTGAAGATAAGAAAATCTGAAAACATAGGCGTAATTTTTTGAGAAGTTTAGTACTCAGTACCTGGTTTGCTAATATCCATTTAACAAAAGGTAGGCGCAATTTGATTAGTCAACAATATCTTTTTGATAAAAATAGGAGGCCTTGTTAAAAAGTTGAAAAGATGGAATTTTAGCTACAAAGGTTATTTATATGCTTCTTTGATTTCTTTGGTTTCACTGGTTTTCTGCTTGAATATTGTGACACATTTGAGAAATCTTGGTGTTGCCTATGCATTGTGTTTATGAGATAAAAATATACTAAAAGCATTAACAAATCAATGGAACGTAATAATATGAATGTAGATTGTCCATTTAATTTAGTGATTATTATTTATTGTAAAGTTCAAGTATTCATAAATTATTATCATCATTTCTTTGTAGATGGAACATAATTCTATTCATAAAACAATAGTGGGAGTTGCTGCTTCAGCATTACTTTTGGGGCTCTTTGGATTCAAAGAATAAAATCTAGAAAGCAAATAACTCGTCAATGTCATGTGAATCGAGATGATGAAAGAGAAAATTACATCAATAATATTTTATATAAATGTGATCATAATTGTATCGACATAATACGAATGCGACCAATTACCTTTTTTCAATCTGTGTCACATCCTTACTAGGAACAATTTGTTACAGTCGACAAGATCGATGAATGTTAAGGAGCAAATTATCATATTTTTACATATAATTGGTCATAATGTAAGATTTTGAGTGATTGAATCAAGATATTATAGATCAATTGAGACAATTCACCGTTACTTTAGGATTGTGTTGAGGGCTATTTTGAAGTTATATAAATTAGCTATTAGGTTACCCGATGAGTCAACTCCTCTTGAAATAATAAACGATCCAAGGTTTTACTCATATTTTAAAGATTGTCTTGGAGCATTAGATGAAACTCATATTCATGCATTTGTTCCACCTAACATTCAAGGAAGTTTTCGTAGTCGTAAAGGGGGAACAACACATAATGTATTGGTTGTCATTACTTTTGATTTGAAATTTGCTTATGTTCTAGCTGGTTAGGAAGGCAATGCACATGATTCTAGTATTTTAACTGATGCACTTACACGCCCAAGAGGATTTAGAATTCCAGAAGGTAATACTTAGCTTTAATAATAAAAAATAATTAAATTAAATTCATAATATATTAAGTAATAATAACATTTTGTTAAATTGTAGGTAAATATTATCTTGCTGATGTTGGATATGGCATCCGAAATGGAATTATATCTCCATATCATGATGTTCAATATAATTTAATAGAGTTCAGTAATCATCGTCCAAAAAATGTAAAGGAACTCTTTAAGCTTTGTCATTCATCATTGCGAACCATTGTTGAACGAGTCTTTGGAAATTTAAAGAAACATTTTCGTGTGTTAGATGCTGAACCATTTTGGGATTTTCAAACACAAATAGATATAGTGTTGGCTTGTACTATAATTCATAACCATATAATGGGAGTTGGTCCTAATGATATAATTAATGAGGATTGTATGAGGAACCTGAGCCTTATTCGATAAAATCACTTCTTACACAACGAGAAGAGAGAGAAGAAGCTAGAGAATGGGCTACTAAGAGATATGAAATCGCACAAGCTATGTGAAGTGATTATATAAATAGAAATATTTAATTTTGTTGAACTTTTTGTTGAGTACTTCTATGTTACGTATGATGGATATTGTTGTTTTTAGTTTGTTGGATATTGAACTTGCTAATGTTTTAAGATCGTTGGACATTAAAATTTAATTTGTTGGTCGTTGACATTTTTGTTTTTGGGTTGTTGGTATTATAAATGTTATGTTTAAGTTTGTTGGACAATGAAATTTATAATGTTGCAAGTTTGTTGGATATTGAGATTATTATTATTAAAGAAATTATTTTGGTATTTAAGTTTTTCCAGTTATGTTTGATATTGCAAATTGTTATAGCATTTTGTTTTGTATTTTTTAGTTTGTTATAAATTGGATATTTTTCTAGGTATAATAATTATTATTGCATTAAGTTTTTAAATTTTTTTTCACTCGTCTAATTGCTTTCTTTTTATATGATTATTAATGTAGCAATGAGCACATCAAAAAATTTTAGGTGGACAAAACCAGTGGAACGTCATTTCCTCGAAATACTTGCAGAGGAGGCGCAAAAAGGTAATAAGCCATATAATGCATTCAAATCAGTTTCTATAAAACGAGTTGCAACAACTATTTTTGAAAAATTTCAAGTTCAATGTGACGCTAAACACGTGGAAAATCATTTGAGGACTATCAAAATACATGGAAAACTATATGTACAATTCGTGAAGAAAGTGGATTAGGATGGGAAGACAACATGAAAATGATAACCTGTGACGAAGTGACATATTACGCTATAGTGACGGTAATTTTTATATACTCTTATTTCAATCTATGAAAGTTAAATTTTACTTGTTATTCTAATTGTGTATAATATTTAACAGGCACACCCGAAATTTGGACAATTTTTGAACAAAAAAATTTGATTCTTATGATGAGATGGCTCTTGTTGTTGGTCAAGATATGGTAACATGGAGTTTTGCTAGAACTTTTGCTGATACAGACTTGGATGATGTTAATGAAGGTTCAATACCGTTAAATTTCGACACTCAATATGTCGATGAGGAAAAAAATTATCTTCATTTGGTACATCAAAACGCAAAAGGAATAATGTCCAAGAAAATGTCTAGGATGATCATATTCAGTTTGTAGGTGAGAAACTCGGTGAGATTGCTGAAGCACTGAAAAAATTTACAGAGGATAAGACAACATATCTTTATGAAGAAGTTATGTCAATGGAGAAAGAAGGGTCTGGTGATGACTTTCTTTGTGAGGTGTTCGATTTTCTAGCGAAGAATAAGCTGGAGGCCAAAGCTTTCTTGGTTAAAAAAACAAAGCATAGGAAAATTTGGCTTCAAAAATTTACCCAAGGTTAAGATGTGAACTTTTAAAGTGGTGTAATATTATTTATGACTTAGACAATATTTTAGCTTTAATGTGTTATAGTACTAATTATAGACTTCAACAATATTGTTGGTTTGATGTGTTGTAGCACTAATTATGAATTAAACTTTGTATTATTACAGTTGGATAATATTGTTGTTTTAATGTGATGAACCCTTTAGTTATACACTTTGACACTATTATTATTATTACAATGTTATGTACTATTGTTGTTTTAATGTGGTGTACTATTAAGATTATATCAATTAAACATACATAATATTAATTATAAACTTTGATAATATATTTTTAATAAATTATTAAAATTATATCAATTATTGTTGTTTTAATTGTTGTTTTAATGTGATGATAAAATTTAATTATATAACAATAAATTAACTTAATAAAACTTAAAGGTAAAGAATAAATAAATATAAAATATGTATGCTTGTTTATTAAAAACAGATTCTAAAAATTGTTTTCAGAAAAATAAAACAAACAACGTAAAACATTTTACAATGTAACTTCCAAACAATGGAAAATATATTCTGAAAAATGTTTTCCAGAAATGTAATTCATTTTCCGAAAACTATTTTCAGTGAAACAAACGGATCCTTACGGTACATGTTGGTATTGCTAAATGCATGGATGAATATATTTTGTCACATGTATGTAGTTAATCATCTCTAAACTTTATCCGAATACAGTAAAAAGTATGTAAATTAATAAGACTCAGATGACTCTATCAGAAATTAGAAGTCAAGTAATAAGTGATTCCAAGTTCACTGATTAATCAGTGCAACGATTAACCGTATAAACCTTAAATTCTGATTATTTTCTTTAAAAGTTGTAATACCAAAAATACCCGAATAAGAAATTATGAAATTTCCCCT